CAGGTATATTTTACTGATTTTTCCGCCCTCCCTGCCCCCCCCCCCGTTTCTTACTATTTTTCGGCCCCTTCTTTCACCCTCCCTCCCTTCTCCCTCCCCCTCTTTCCTTCTCGCCCCCTCTCTCCTCTTTCGTCGGTCTCCGGCAAGCCGAGGCGGGCGGCGTAGCATCGTAGCGTTAAAGTTAGTAATTAAGCAAGAAGACGACTGACCAAACTTAACCTGAATCCCCCGTATATGAGAATAGCTGATATTATCAACTCTCTTCTTATATTCTGTATATTTATCACATCTTTTGAATAACTGTCGACAATATGCTTATTATGACAAGGGGTGCTTTCAGGTGTTTTACTTCTTGAAAAATCCTGCCATGCCCTTGGACATCGAAGCGAATTGGGCCTGCATGGTCGCATTCATTGATAACAGCCTTTGTGCAAACTGACTTCACCCCATGCCTTGGCAACTTCCGTGGCTCCAGAGACTTTTTGCTTGGCTTCGTTGGTCATCTGCCGCGCCTTGGGCAGTAAGCAACTCTTCCCAGAACCATCTGCAGAAAGCGAACGCACAGGACAAGTGGCCAAGCGCCCGGAATTTTCAACTGCATCAGACCTGAAGCAGTGCGCGAATTGTGTGACGAGCTGTCGACTCTCCGAGTTTCTTGAGCTGAGCCAGGGGCGCAGATGAAGTGGATACCAAATGGGAGACACTGTGCCTTGCTGCTCCGGCTGCCTTTCGGAAGAGGTACCAATAGCTGATGGCGGCTGACATGAAGTGAACACGGCTAAACTACCGCGTTACGCGCGTTCCTCGCTGACCAAAGACTTGGCAGTCTCAGCCTGGATCGGTTACAGCGTAGCCCAGGGCACTGCAGGTCACCTCAAGTCCGCCTTGTGAGCAGCTGTGGACACACCGACGCGGGCAGCACCTCAGTCTGGAAACCGCAGCTATCTACGAGTCTAGTGTGGACGGACCAGAGCCATCGTCAGACATTCAGGGGTGCCGGCTCATGGCACTGTTGGCGGCAGTTTTGGCGCGTTCGGCCTCATAAACACCCAAGTAACCCAAGTGCAGTCGACAGGCTGCCTGTGGCTTCGGGTGAGGCATCTGCGCTTTTTGTGGTGACTGCCTTGTCTGCAGCGTGGGTCACGCTTTGCCGCGCCTGACGGGAGGGGAAAGAAACTCCAATGCCGTGTGTTTCCCAGTTTGACTCGAATCTGTCACCTTAAGCTCAGACTCCCACCCACACTGCGGCATGGCTTGCAGCCGCAGCAGCTCGCTTCATTTCAGTTGACGCGTACGCAGCCTTGTGGGATGCCTGCAGAAGAAGCAAGAAGTTTTTCGCGAGGGCTGCTTGTCCCTGAGTCCAGTCCTCAGGCGCCATCTCCGAAATGCCTTCCAAAGTCAATCTGAAGGCCAAGCCGTGCTTTAGAGAGATTTGCCTTGTCGAGCGCGTGCTGCAAAGGTTCCAGCCATGCCTCGCATCTCATGCACCGACAAGCAGCGGTGCAAAAAGCCGGCCCACGGAGACGGAAAGATCGTGCTTGTACACTTGGCCGTTGGAGCGCAAGCGATATAGCTAGAATACCAGCACCGGAAGTCCCTTTCTAGCATGAACACCTGGCTTTCCTTCAGACTTGCGATCAGGTCAGAACGACATCTGGACAGTTTCGTCGTCTTATGTCGTCTTTCGGCAACATAGTCCACGACTCGAGTCACGTGTAAGAAGCGACAGTGCGAACTCAGCCAGGTGCCCATGGCACGTGACATTCGAGCCGGGATGGCCTCATGTGCACAACACCTTGCGTCTTGAAGCTCTGCAACACTGTAATTAACTCGCATCTGAGCCGCTTTGGAGGAAGACTCTGAACTGAAGGAGCTTGTGTCCTTGCGTACCGGGGTAGCGCAGTATGTTGCAAGTTGCGACGACTGGATCAACACGTCGGACCATTCGCATGAAGGCCTCCCAGAGGATATCCATGATGTCCTTCCTCCTGCGAGTCGGACAGCATAGCTGCTGCTGGCGTGCCAGTGCTCTACAAATCAAAAGCGTAACAAATCCTCGCCTTTCTGGAGAAAAGTGTGCGAGAATTGCCTCCCATTCCTTCAAGGGCATCAGCACTTCAGCATCACCAGCATTGCTGCACTCATGGCAGCCACACGACCGGGTCCTCCACAGGTGTCTCCTGGAAATATCTGGCCTCAGGTACGACAGAACGCACACACAAGCACAAACAAACCCCTCAAACACGATGGCGCTTCACATAGCGGTGAGGGTCGGGCGATGGTGGCATTGGATAGAGGGCTCAAGTGCAGTGCCACCTCGCCGGCACGACGTTGTGACCACTTCATGGTGCTTTCCGCCAGAAATGCGTCACCTGCCTGTGCTGCTTCACTGGGAGAGCCGTCGGCCTCGAGATAGGCAGCTAGTCAATTGCCGGCCAGCACAAGCACTCGGGAAATTTGAGGGGAGATTCCGGTAGAGATCCCGGTGGGGGGAGATTCCGGTAGGAAGCCCAGCGGCAGGGCTGGAAGGCTCCATCCTCAGCGGCGCAGCGGTAGCCAGGCTCGAGCAGGTCTAACGACTTACAGCTTCTGTCGCATGAGACCCTTGCACGAGTATCGACCTGCACGGGTGTTCACGGACCTGCACTAGGCAGGCGTTTCGCTGTCACAGCTGTGAGATGCTGGCACATCCAAGCGTGCGGCGGCAGGCTTGTTGTTCAGAAGCCAGGTATCGATAATCTCTGGCTCATCCTAATTGTCAAGCGAGCGATATACCAATAGCTCGCCCGCTAAAAACAACGGCTGCGCGACAACTGCTTCCCACGTGCCTCCACCGCAGCACAAGCAGACGAAACTTCGGGTTCTTGCTCCGCTTTTGACGGTGACGAGGTGGAAGGATACCCGGATTCCACAGCCAGCTCTTGATTGCTGGGAGCAGACGAAACTTCGGGTTCTTGCTCCGCTTTTGACGGTGACGCGATGGAAGGATACCCGGATTCCACAGCCAGCTCTTGATTGCTGGGAGCGACATTTACGTTGATGCTGTCACTGTCACCAGTAAGGCAACTCGCAGCAAGCTCGCCGCCGGCTGTCGGGTTGCTCATACCAGCAGAGCAACCTGCTTGAGCCTGGGCTGCGTCTGCCTCATCTGATGCGCGGCGTTCAGTGCGGTCCATGCCATCCACCGCCTCAGTGACAATCTCCTGCTGCTCTTTTGCTTCTGGCTCTGCACCCTGTAGCTGCTCTTCAGGTAGCTCGCCTGCACATTGCTGAGCTCCTTCCAGCGCCTCTGCTTCAGCCTCTGCTCCTTGCTCCTGTATGTGTGGTCCATCCGTTGTGCCATGCTTGTCCGCTTTGGGCAAGTCTTGCTGCTCCTTCATCTCGTGGGTTTCTTGGAACTGCTCTGTTCCTGAAGCTGTTTTCTCAGCTTGTCGAGCGGGTGCCTCAGGGCCTGCAGCACCAGTGACCCAGCGGCTTCTTATCTCAATCATGCACCGAACTTGAGGACGGAACTCATGAACGACACTGCACAGTGAACAAATTTCAGCATCTGCTTTTCCGCAAAGCACAGTCCACCGCCCAAACGGCTCTGTCCCTCCTGTACAATGCGTGTATATGCACACATAAACGATTACCACATGCATAATTAAGGTTTATCTGTATATACATATTGTATGCCATTGTGTCATCGCCTCCGGTCGATGTAGTGTGATGCTATTGAGTGGAAGACATGGACGTGGACCCACCTGCCTTGTCGAACTTCTGGCACCTCTACGGAACATGCACTCTTATTCGCCAGTGCTGCATGTCGAGGGACATTGAACTTCTCTGAACGACGCTCCACAAGTGCAACGACAAAAAAAAGTAATGGAGCTTTGACAAGAGCAAGCAAAGCATAGCAGTAATTGCAAGAAGCAGTCGGCGGGCACTGGCAAAACCCAACTTCACATCGCTTTCACTAAGCAAGCAAGCAAGCAATACCCCCCCGCCGCCACACAGCCAGGGCACGCTGTCAGCCGCATCCGTTTCTGTACCTTGACGGAATGCTAACAAATGAGAACCACCTCAAGACCTAGTAGTTCTGTTGCTCGCGGGGAACTAGACTTGAGTACCATGCTGTTCCGTTGGTGTGGCTTCTTCAACAACTGCCGCCGGGCTACATGTCACAACGAGGCCGAGGGCTTCCGCCGTGTCTGTTGGCAGGCTGCCTGCCACAGCCTCCTTCGCAGCATCTGGCATTGCAGCCAGGATTGCCGCACGGTTTTCGCTTCCCATCAACAAGACCTTCGTGCATTCGTGCGAGCACTTGCCAGGCATCAGCAGCCTCAACTGAGGCAAAAGCCAGTTGTCCAGCTTGACGCGGAGGCATGCGACCCAACATGGTCGCTGATTCTTGAGGTGAAAGGTGTTGGAGCGTGGAAAGGCGTGCTTCCAATGCATCCGCCACCTGACTGTGGAGGGCGGCTTCACCCTCTGAGTTTACATTCACATGCTCAGCTATGCGAGCAGATTCGAACTGCACCTCTTCGTCATCTTCGCTTTCGCCGGCACTTGCCATGGCAAACGATCAGCTTCAAGGCGTGCCCCGCTTCCGAACAACACTTGGCAAACTAATGAGAATTTCAGAACCCTGGACGTTGACTTGGCAACTTGAGGGGCAGTCGTGCCTGCGCAGGCGGTGAGAAGAACGACATCAAGAGAGAGAGAGAGAGAGGGAGAGCCTATCAAGGCCTCCTGCAGCCTCAGGTCCCATGCTGCCCTACGCAGTTGCTGTCGGAAGACCCTTTTTGGTCAAATGCTCCGCGGCTTCAGAGTAGCGCCTCGGGCAAATGCTGTGCTAGCAGGATGGATCCTGTCTCTTCGATCCGCAAGAAACCTGCGGCTATTTCTTCTTGCTGACGCCAGCTGCTGCACCTAAGCTGTGTGGACTGCACTGCCTTCTCCGATGCTCGAATTGCTCGAATGTCTAAGGCGCAAGCGGGCCGCCGTTGCCTTCGCCTCCAAGTCCTGGAGCTGGTCTGCCCAGGAGGCCTCAATCTTTGGTCGAGCCTCGGTCTGGACCTAACGTGTCAATCCTGGCCATCCAGCCCCTTCACAGAAGATAGCAGATGGCAGGACTTAGCTTCGCCACCTCTGCCATGATCGCTTCGAGCTTTGCCTTCCACATCTCATGATCAATATACACGACCGAGCGCTACGCATGCACAATTTCCTGGGTGCCTCTGCCAGCTTTTTGGCACCATCGAGTCTTCCTTGGGCCTCTGGGATTCACGGCAACGTCAATACTGCAGCTTGCTGCGGCTTGGCAGCCTCTTGTCGAAGTTTGTCTTCGGCCTCTTTCAGGCGCTCGGCGATGGCCTGCTCGCACATCTCGAGGAAAACCGGGCGCATGAAAGAAGGTTCGGCCTGCTCCAATTTCTCCTCCGCTTCCACCAAGCGCGAGGCCTTCTCTCGAGCCAGCCTGTCTTTCACTTCCTGTAACTGTGCCTGGGCCGGGGCTGATATCGATAGTTCAGCCCAAAACGGCAGACGCCAGAAGTTGCCTCCAGCTCTGAATCAGCTTCACTTTGGAGAGCTCGAAGGGCCACGTCCATCTGCAGGGATGTCAAATCACGATCCCATACCGACCGACCTAAACCAAAAAGACAGCAAAACCACTCCAATACCAATGGCCTCTTCCTTCTGCTTTCCTTGCAATGCCGGTTCATCGATGGCTGCATCCTGGAACAGTCTGCCAAGCACTGATGCTAGAAGTTCATTGTCCTGCGTTGCTACAGGGACTGGACGAGACGTCGGGTTCAGGTTACAGGGTTTGCTCACGAGTTCGCAGTGCCAGGACACTGGGAAGCTGGCCGGATTGGCTTTCAATCGATTCAGCGCTTCGGCCGCAGACGCCACAGCCCGCTCTGCTCCCTTCACAATACCATCATGTTTCTGGCAACAGGGGGCTCTCAGCTTTTAGCTGCTTTGCACCTTGATTGCTGTCGCACGCGAAGGAAGGCCAGACCTGGCGCTCTGAGAAGATTCTCCCAAAAGATGCCAACAGCCGTGACTCAAACTGTGGGTCATGCATCGCAGAACTTCCAGAGCTTTGTGACCGCGACCGCCTCAGATTGCAGGCACCCTCTAACGGCTCAGTGGCTGCTGTAAGCAGGATGAACTACTTCGACGTGACAGGTAAAGTCTGCAAACCTAGGGCCCGGCGACCTCTTTCTGCGTCCTTTGCGGCGTCTTCGCCCTTCTCGAGTGAGCTTCAGCGGCAGTCACAACGAGTCGTCTTGCATGCGTGCATTCGACTCTGGATTTCGTCTGCTTACGCCTCGATGGTCTCTTCGTCGACGTTCTCGCCTGTGCCTGTAGTTCGAGGAAGCTGCCGGACACTGGTCTTGGAGAATGCTCATCTAATCCAACTGCCTGCGTCCGTGTGCTCGACGCCTGCCCTGGGTGATTCGCAGAAAGACAACACAGCTGGCAGAGCTTCTCCGACAGGCTTGCTGAGCACGTGACTTTTGCATGTCTTCGTCGTCTTCTCGTTCTGCTGCGGCTGCGACTTGTGGCAGATTCTGAGACCGATGCCTGAGATAAGCGCTGATCTGCTGCTGGCCGTGTCTCAAATTGGCAGAGGCCAAGCCTGTTTCTTTTTGCGCTTGGAGCCTGTGACAATCTGAGGTTGTCAGTTGAGGCCCACTTTGCATCAACTGTAATACTCAACACGCCTATTCAGCCCCGGTTTCGTCAGGAACTCAGACTGTGTGATTTTCCCAACACAAGGGCAGACTTGCAATCCTGCAGTCTTCGATGCAGCCGTCTTCAAAAACTCCTCCAGCAGTTGGATCTTGTGCCTCTCAAATCGCGCACAGCACACGCATGCCAAACTCGCGCACTATTAGTATAAAAATCTGACACCACGCCTTGCCGGATCATAGATGCCGTCCCCATGCTCATCGCAGTACGCATGCCATGCTTTTTGGAACGCAGCGGAAGCTTTCTGGTGGCTTTTCACCTGTGCTGTCTGCATGAAATGGCGGACAAGACTGCTGCAGGGATTTTCGCCTGCCTGGTTGATGAGAACTTGTCTAGAATCTCCCGCACTTCCCTCATCCTGCATCTGGAAGCTGCGGTGAGGACATGCCCTCCATGACATGTTTCACCAAGCGAAAACGGCATCGGTCCGACATGTACTGCGCGACCAAGGCTGAGCAGAACCATGAGTTGTTGGGCACAGGCCGGCACAAGAAGCTTGTTTGAGGAGTACTAGTTGCCCTGTCAGTCATGTGTATGGCAAGTCTGTAAGGCTTGGATGCCCAAAGTCTTGAACTCGACTTTATCATCACATATGTTACATTGCAACCTGTCCATGCCGACGGCAAACAAGCCACGCCTGGACGACAGCACGCCCAATGCAGCAAAGGGTGCTTGCTCCAGGGGAACTTCAAGTCTAAGCTTCAAAGCTTCGGCCAAAGCTTAGATGTTCTTCACTTTTCAAGAAGCTCAAATGCCATCGGATCTTTTTGTTCCTCTGCCGGAAGCAGCTTGTGCAGTGCCCTGCACCTTGGCAGGCGCGCCTTCTTCGCGCTTTGCGGCTGCGCTGTTCGGCCTCAAGTCAAAGGTTCAAACGTGACTGCTCGGCGGAACGAGAAAAGCGAGCGAGGCTGGCCTGCATGTCAATGTCACGGCATGGGATACTGTGGCGGTTTGGAATCCACCCGGCTAGCTCGGCTGCAAACGTTCGGATGCAAACCTCTGCTGAAAAATTGCACACCGCGAGGTACTTATCTTTCGAGTCGACTGCTTCCCCTTTCACGCGAAACACAGGGAATTCAACCGAGAGGTGCATGGCCGGCCTTTTCTGTCACTGCTGGCTCTGGCTCCCACCCGACTCTATTCCGGTATTGGTACAATCTGGCTTTTCTTCCACGTCTGCCTCATCCGGCTGGCATTGTGTTAGGGATTGAACACACGCGGCAGCGTGGTATGTTTCAAGGGTGCTGGCCGGTGCTGGCTTGCTTGGTGATCATCCTGCAACTCTGCATGCGCCGGATTCGTGATCGAATACAGCAGTGCAAACCTTGCGGCCGGCCATGGCCGGCCAAACTCTAGTGCCAAAACGCTTCCCGAAGCAAGTTTATGCGGGCCAAGGGCCCGTCTCCTCTTGCAGGCTGTCGTTCCCGAAGTTTTGATCTGCACGGCCTCGCAGACACAGCATTTAATTTAGTCTGCAGTCCTTGTTTCTACCTGTACCCAGGCCCAAACCTTTTCAGCAAGGCTGCCTGACATGAATCCAGCTGCACCAGGCTTTCAAACACATCAGCGCGGCTCAAATGCTGGACTTGCCAAACAGCTCGTGGCAAACCTTCGCTCGCCAAGGATGTTTAGCTCTGTTCTACAACCTGCACAATCCCATAACTCGTGCTTGAATAAAGCTGGAGGGGCAAAAAGTCAAGACCCAATGCAGAAAAGTGCACAACTTACATCTGTCCGGCGTCCGGCTACCGCGGCAAGACCATTTTCGTCCATGCTTCTTTTTGTGGCTTCTTTGGCCTGGTATGCTGCTAGCTTATCCGGGCCCAGCGCCGTTGCCAGAGTGGTGCGAGCTGCTACTAGCTCGGCTGTGAGGGCCCCGCGTCGGATTTGATAGTCCCCACCAAACGGGAAGTTCACATCTACGGCCAAGCGAAACAAGGTGAGAAATGCTAGTGTCAGCGTTGCGAAGAAACAGCGATCTACGATGGAAAATTCGCTGTTGGGATCTGCCGCCTCCCTCAGAGCAAACGATATGGAAATAAAGATCGACAGTAAGCCAAATGTCCAAAAAAAGGTAGGTGGCAGTGTCAATGATTCCCTGGACAGCCGCCCCGCTCGAAAATCTCTCAAATTGTTCAGCATCCCCAGACACACCTGCAAATCTGGTTCGTACAGCGGCGCTGTGGCTTGCTGCTCTCTCCGCATGCGGCCCCACTTGAGGAGTGCTTGCCGATAGTTGCTGATGCTATCGCTTTGGCGATCGCGATCAGCTATGTCCATCAACTCCACGCCCCTCGTACCATAAGCCATTCGCTCAGAGTGGTGCCACAATGCCAGCAGTGCTTTGTCTTCATTCTTTGCCACAGTTGCCCCGGTCTCACTGGGCAGCGATCTTTTGTCCAACGAATCGAAGAGCCCGACCGTATGTTCTGACAAACCCGACAACAAGGCACTCTCCTTGACGGACTCTGTTTGAAGATCTGCCAGGCGTTGCATCTGAACTTGAAGCGTCACGCCAGCATAGCTGCCGAAAACGAAGGTTTCCACAGTCACAAACTCAGTCACTACATCTGCTAGGTCGTCAGTGTTTCCACCGAGGTCATCGTAAAGCAAGGTGCGTAAACAGCGCACCACAGTTGGGTATGCCGCAAAAGCAGTCAGGAAAGCAACACCTCGGTAAATTGGGCTCTCCAGCTGAGACAAGGGAACATTGGGGCCGTTTTTACGCGAGAGATCCTTCAATCGTACCGGCAAACCTTCCAACGCTCGTTCCAGCGCTGTCCGGGTTGCATATGCACGCGGGCGCTGGAACACCGAAACGTCGACGGATGTGAATTTGCTCAACCAATTGTCTTCTTGGGCATCTGTCGTTTCCTCCGTGCCCTTGGCAGTTCGAGTGGCTCCTCGACGATGAGATGCAGCAAGTGCCGAATACATGCCTGCAACCACTGCAACACCAGGCCTGCACCAGCTCGAAGATTCTTTTTTGCTTGTGGGCAGGCTCCATGCCAATCCGCATGCGGAGCTTTGCTGTGAAACTCTGCGGGGCACTCGGACAACGACATGACCAAGTCGACAGCCGCGATGCTCAATCATTGCACCGCATGCCAACACGACACAAACTCATCGGAGTTCCATCTGCCCCCTTGCTACCGTACCAAACCTGAGCCGAAACAAATGCGTTGGAGTGTTTTCTCGAGGCTCATGAGTAGGATGTGGCACACCCCTCAACCATACTTTCGCTCGTGGAGAAGGGGGTGATTGGGGCAGGATGAGTGGCACAACTACCCATATGTATATGTATACTTGCACGTGTATGAATCTGCGTCTATATACATGCGTACATATTTGACGTGTTTGTTGTGGCTCTATTACGTTATGTTTGTTTCACAACAATAACCCGCAAAGCCCTAAATTTTAACGTTTCATTCGCTCACTTTCTGCCTTCTTCTTCCCATCATACATGGGTCAAATGTTCTGGGTTGGCCCCAGTCGGGGCCCCGGGCCGTTTAATTGGAATTGCTGTCTACGCACTACCGGCCTCAGTCTCTCTGATTTACTGAGTACCTTCTTCTTCCCACCTTTCTTGGGTGTGTTCGGGTTTAACCGCCTCCTCTCCGCCGGGCTTCGGCGTGGTTATCGCGGTGCTCGTGCCGCCACGCTGCCCTTCCCCTTTCCAAACAAGTTCCACTACAACAGGCCAGCCAGCCAGCATAAACACGCCGATAATTCAGTACCCAAGCATGCCTCCAAACTCTGCGGTGTGCCCGCCCCCCCCCTCCCCCAAGTTCGCCTCCGTTGCTCGGCCATCGCCCAGTGCCTCGCCATTCAGCTCGAGCTCGCAGCTCCCTCGATCCCGCGCAGTCCCCAAGAGGTTCGGGGGTGCGGCGGGGCCGACATCATGAGCGTCAGCAGGGCCGGGCGCACCACCCGCAACAGACTCGCATTAGTGTTGCCTATGGGCCACCGACATGGCAAGCTCAAGGAGGCGCGCTCGCCGGACAACGGCAAGGGAACGGCTTCTATTTTGGATCCCACGCCTTGTCTCATTGCAAACTTCTACAATGCACACTCGGAAACTTGACCAAATTAATGTACACGGCTTCAATTGCACGGCTACCGCCCACGTCACAAACTAGCCTGAGCCGCTGCACCTTCGCCAGCTCGTCGGCCCAATCACCGTCTCCGGAGTATTTGATCGCTTTCTGCATTTTTTTCACATACAGAACCTTTTTCCAAGCGGTGTCCCAAGGCTTAGGTTTTTTATGCAACGGATTGTCCAAACATCCCAACGAAAAAAGGTTCTAGTTGTGGTCGCAGCTGACCAATCTAACTGACAGAATAGATGGACCGTCCCGTGTCAGGGCCGCAACGGCTGGCGATTCTAGCTGGCGGTGGCCTCGTGGTAGCGCCGCACCCAGGGTTCAGGGTTCGGGCCAGCGTTGTGGCCGGTTCTGTGTTGGGATCACAGCAAGGCAAGCGCCCGCCATGGCTTGGGACGGGAGAAGCGCGTGAGGACTGGGCGACATGTCCGGCAGCCGCACGCGTTCGCATGCGTTCGCGAGTGTCGGTGTTGCGTGTGCGCGAAGCGTGCATGTGCCAACCGGCGAGCCGTCACAAGCTTTTGGTTGCAGTGGCCCCACCCCGCCGCTTACTGCCGTGCTGGCGACTTCAAGCGGACGAAGTCCCACACGAAGGTGCGCGCCTGCTCGTCGACGAGCTGCTGCTGCTGCTGCTGCTGCCCGCCGCGGCAAAGCTCTGGGTAGGTAGTGGCTTTAGCATTCGGTTACCCTGAGTGCCGGGCCATCGACCACCGCTGCACAAGGTTGCGGGTGTCCCGTACACGTCAAGGGAGGCACGAGCTTGGCGTCGCGGCACAGGGCTCCGCCGCTGCGCGTCACGCCGTGCACGGCCAGGTCAAGGCGGCGCCGGTATGCGGCCTCCAGGCCAGGTGCCGTGGTGTGGGCCGGCCACATTGCTGCGGCACGACCTGCAGCCCTTGCTCGCTCTACGGGCTGGGCTCGCCAAGCCAGCCAGCCCGCACGTTCGAAGGCAGGCAAAGCGGTCGCCTAAAGCATCGCAAGCTGGCCAGTCCCTGGGGCCTGCGTCGTCTGCCGGGTTTGGGCGCGTGAGGAGAAAGCTCCGGGCAGGGAAGTCGCGCCATACTTCCTCTTGCAAAAGACCCCGCGCCGCCGCCACCTCCGCTGCGGCTGTGCGAAGTCGGGCGCGCGAGCGTTGATCACGGGCAGCGCATCCGCCCAGACCGCCCAATACGCCGCGGGGCTGCAGACGGTCTTTTAGTCGGACGCGTATGTTTGCGCAGCGCACCGCAAGCCTGCGGAAACAGTTGCAATCCCCGCCGTAGGCCGCCGGGCTGACGCAAGGCTGTGAAGCATGAGACGAGTGCAAAGTCGATGTTGCCAGGGACTATAACGCGGCAGGGAGCAAGGCAGACCTCGGTAACGCGCCCGTGCCGGACCTGCACTAGGACTCAAACCAGAATGGCTGCCGTCCTCCTTTTTCGTCCAGGTATTCCCCCTGCCTATCTCGAGGGGGGCGGGGGGGGGGGTCGGAATAGGAAAAGTTTCCTATTAGGTTTCTGCCTGGGACGGGGGGGGCCCCCCCCCCCCGTCTAATAGGAGGATTTGGGAAGAGGCTCGTTATTCAATATAATTATACGGGGTTGATGCATTAAGGTGTAGGACTCTGCAAACACATGCGCAGAAAGCTGCCGACTGAACTGCATGTGCACACAAGGCTCCAAGTGCGAACGGAATCTGTCCTTTTTGCGTCGCACGCATGCTTTGCGTACGGTTCGTGTGAAACACGCACACTGCCGAGCAAGGTTCAGGAGGCATAGATTACTTTTGAGTGTCTGCCCAGCCTAGCCCGGAAACGGCCTATGGCAAAATGCCCGGTTGCTTTGAGCATGCTTTGGAACTGCAGGTTCGGAACAGCACTTTAGATCACCTTAGCCCGGCAGCTCGAACGCCGCACTAGTGGCGCTCACAACTTTCTGCAGGAAGTCCTGGCGGGGTCGTTGCTTCAGGTGTAAGGTGAGGGCTATGCATGCTAATATGCGGGGCTTGATTCGGAAATTATTTTTTTTGGAGCTTCGGTCCTTGACAGGCTTGGTCGACAAGGAGCCATCTTTGCCTGGGTTTGGAGGAAGGTTTCGTTGCATTCGGACCGTGTGTTTGAGGTTCAGGGCTTAGTTAAGGCTGGGAGGATAAGGTCTACAACTTATGAGGCCGAGATTCTGCGCTTCGGCAGCAGGGACTGCAGGAAGCTGTGCACCCTCTGGCTGAACGTCCAGCCTCGTGAATTTTCAAACTCCTTCTCGAGGAATGTAGCCGATCGGCTCGCGAGATCTTTGAAACTCAGCTGCTGCTCGCCCAACTGCACGGAATCGTTGGCATCCACGAAAGGCTGCTGCTCCTGGGCGTAGGCCCGTGCCAGAGCCGGCCAGAAACGGTCCAGGGACTTGCGCAGTGTCGTCTTCGTGAAGCTGCGGTCGGTGAACTGAAGGCCTTCGCTCAATGACGAGGATGGCTCGGCATGCTCTGCGGCACCGTCCTCCGCAGGATCAGCAGCTGATGCAGCTGCCAGCTTGGGCAGCTTTGATTTGCGGAGGATCTCGATGCCCTGGAGCGCCGCCTCAGACAACTGCACGGTGAAGCCATGCTTAGTCTCCTTCTGCATCACGAGCTCTGGCTCCGCGAGGACGACACCAGTGGGATCAAACACCCATGCATTGCTGAGGCCAGTGACTGTGAAGGTGCCCTGAGTGTCGTCATTGGTAGCACGGAGCTCTGCAGCGTGCACCACACGAGATGCATTCGTTGGCAGATCGCCGTTGAACGCCCTGCCCGCTCTGACCTGGACCGGTCCTTGCCCTTGCTTTCGGTTCACAGAGCCACGGAACACGGTCAATGTCACGCCCAGGAGGATCTTGGAAGAGGCCCCGAGCTGGGAGCCACACAGAACGAGGACCTGCCAGGTTCTCCCACTCACAGGTGGACGGAAAGATGTCACTGGAACCAGACCGTCTTTGGACGAGCTCTTCGGGACTGGGAGCTTCTCCTTGAGGAACTCAGCAGCTGTCTTGGCCCACGCCTCAGCACGGCTGACCCTGGTGTGAGACAGGGAAGCAATGCGGCGTGCCAGGGCGAGCTCATGCTCCACAACATTCCACTTTTGGCCTTGAGACTTTCGCTCCAGAAGGGCTTCCGACAGTTTGCCCTCTTCTAATCTCACCCACCTCGTGTAGCGCCGGATGGGCCCGACCAAACAGAGTGCCCGCTTCAGGCATCCCTCCTCACCTGCACCGCTGATTTCATTCAGCTCGAAAGCAGCCGGGTCCTTGACAATGGCCTGGTTCACGACATCGGCGAGCGTCTTCGGCTGAAGCTCCTCGGGATGGTCAGGTGGCTCATCCGGCAAGAGGCCATCAGGAAAGGCGGACGGTGCGAAGTCGGCCGCTGCATCGCCGCTGGAGGTAGCCTGTTCATGCTGCTCCTGCTCCGGATCATCAAGTTGGAGAAGAGCATCCAGTGTGGCCTCGGTCTCCTCTGCTTGCACAGCTCGGGCCTGCAGCAGCTCCACTGTGGCAAGGGGCTCGTCCAGAACCGTAGTATCCACGCCAGCGAGGAGTGCAAGGTCCGTGACCTCATCCACTTTCTGCTCCAGCAAGTGCTCCAAGCTGTCCTCTGCGTCGCCGGTGCCTGCAAGGTCCTCGGTCCTGGCCTGCAGCACGGCAAGTCCTCGCACGCGAAACCAGCTTCTGAAGTGGTCGTAGATGTCCTCGGCGGTCACGTCCACTGAAATCATCGCTTGGAATTTGCAGCAGCATGCCAGGGCTTCCTTGGAGATCTGGGTGAGCTGCTCCGGGGTCACAGGCGTCCGGTCCTGAACAGTGGCATTACTGTTGAAGTCGTGGCCTTCGGGCAGTCTGCGAAGCTCGAGTAGTTGTTTCATTGCATCCAAAGAGATGCCAGCGATGCAGTCGCGGATCCCTGGCGACCCTCGGAAGCTAGACTTCACCCGCGAAAAATGGACTTCGATGGGCAACTCTTGAAGGTCGCGGTGTTCCCACGGCATCTGGCACTGGTTCACACTGTGGGCCGCCAGATGGGCTAAATTTCGGACTGTCACCTTGCTGAGGCAGTACTTGTCGGTCTGCTGCGGGTGCTTTGTCGAGGCACGGCACAGATGAAGCATCACCACATAATAGAGGCAGAAGGAGGAGTGTGCCAGTTCGGACTTCGTCAAGCCCCGGGAAGCGGTGGTGATCGCAGCGACCAAGCCTCCCACCAGCTGATGCAGGTGAGTGCCAACGGCATCCCACGCCCGTGGTGTGAAGCACGGGGCTAGGCGGGAGCTCGCGGCACTGTCGCTTTGTACATCCTTGCAGCAGAAGGCTGCTGTCCCCAAATCCTGCCGACAGCAGGGCGACAAAGTCACCCAGAAGGCGCCCCAGCTCACAAGGCGGCACCCACTGACATGTGCAAGGCTGAAACGTTTCTGCACATGCCAGCCTCCGCAAGAGCCTGCCAGCTGAAAGCTTTTGCCGGTCGAGGGCTGAGTCCAGAACAGAGCACCGAAGGGCCAAGCATACGGACCTGTCAGAGGCTTCCTCTCACAAGTACTCCAGAAAGGAAGCTTCGTGAGGTCGGCCGGGTCGCATAAACCAACCAAGCAGCGGCTCGTCTCCATGTTGCGAGTGCCGCAATCTGAGGAGACTCCGATTGGAGGCACCAAAGATCGCGAGGTAGCTGCCTGCATCACACGGCCGGTGAGCTCCAGCAAGTCGCGGCCACTGCTGGTTTGCTTGCCCGGGATGCACAGGAGGTCAAAGACGAAGCGGCTGCAATCAGGCCGTTTCATGACGTAGTGCTGGGTAGTGTTGGCGAGGAAGGCTTGCGGCATGTTCCGAATCTGGGGCACCTCATTGCTGTCGGTCACCTGGACGTAGGAGAAGTCCTGGTCACTGTCCTGGTGCTAGATGCCACCGACGATGGCTGTTTCGCCATCCTTGCTGATCTGTGACCAGGAAGGGGACCAAACAGTCTCGTCCATGATCAGCATGGGGCGGATCTCGGTGTCGCCTTCCAAGCGAAGCAGCCTCAAGATTTTCTCAGCAGCTGTCCGGAGCAGCTCATCTGTCCTGTGACTACAGAAACTCTCTGGCACTGCCTCCTGGATCACTGGCTTCTTGGGGACCGCCCTTGCATTGAGTCCGAAACGCTGCATCAACTCCTGGATCTCCGAGGTGCGGCCTAAAGTAGACAAAGCATCGGCCACGTGCGCCTCTCGGATATGCTTGGAGGAAGTCTTTCGGCGCTTGTTGGAGCAGAGTTGCTGAAACTCGAGAAGAAAGGTGGCTGTAAGGGCTTCCACTACACTGTCTCCTCGTAGTCCACCCGTCGCTACGAGGCTTGCGAGGTGAACGTCCTTCTCACGGCACGTCCCCGAGGTGATGGCGTCTGCCAAGGTCGCCGCGAGAGCTGTCTCGGCGTCCTTCTGCATACGCTTGCCACTCTTGGTGACAGGCACAGTCACCCTGAACCGCTCGATGAGGTGCCTCATGCTCGTAGATCGCCGGCTCTGGGCCACAGACTCCATGCCTCGTTTGGTGGCACACAGCAGCTTCTGAAAAGAGTCATCTCCCTCCAGCAAACCTTCCAGACCAGTACCCTCTAGTTTGAGGGCGATGTAATCCCGAGAGCGCATGACTTGGGCCATCTCCTCCGCCTCCTTACGTGGTCGGTTTTTCATCTTCCACGTGAGGAGAAGCAAGTCCACCCAGTAGGAGAGTTTGCACAAGTGTTTGCGCAGCGACAGCAGTTGGCATCTTTTGAGGCACTCGTCACAGTACCCACGCTCTGTCTCCTTGGGAGACATCTCCTTTCGCACGCACTGCGTGGAAGATACTAGGATGCCTAGCCGTGGATGGTATTCGAAGACAAGACCTTGTAGTGGATCCGCCTCCTGCTCGGAATAGACGATCCGCGGTTGCCCCGCCTGGTCACCGACCCCCGACTCTGAACCCGGGAACCCTAAACCTCCAAGCCCTGACCCTTTAGGCTGCCCCCGATCCTCGACGAAGTTGATGATGCTCTGGCTGTAGGCGTGCAACGGCGACCCGGGATCCTGCACAAGTTGACAGTGGAGGCGGGGGTGCATGCATAGCGGAAGCCTTATGCGAAGAAGGGTCCTGCACGGCAATGCCTCGGCACCCGCTCTGGTCGGACTCAACGATCTCGTCGGCAGCGGGCAGGGGCATCAGAGCACGATCTCGCTCCTCCTGCTCGCATCGCAGCCTTCGCAGCCCTCGCTCGTGCTTCTTAGCCTTCTCGTGCACGAGCAGCTTCGAGTTGTTCGCTGAAGTCCAGAAGCGGACCTTCTCTTGGCAGGCCGTGCACCAGTATTCCACTTGGGGACTGTAGCTCGCATCCGTAACTCGGTAGAGGCCAGGCCTTTCGCTACGGATAAACTCATGCAGCCACCTTCGCCCAGCTTCGTCGGCTTTGCGCTTCCTGCCCTTCTTGCTTGTCCTGCTAAGGCCAGGCTTGTCAGCTTCCTCCGCCGGGACCAAGCTCGAGAGGGCCTGCTCCTCCGCATCCTCCAGGGCCTGCGAGACCTTGGCCTGCAGCTCGAGGCAGGCCTCACAGGAGATGATTCGGTCGTCCGCGATAGACTTCTGAAAAGTTTGCCAGTGGCCCTTCGCGGTGTTCTTGCCAGGAAAATGCCTTCGGTGCACCGCCTGAAACATGCTGTGGTCCACCCCAATGTTCTCCAGGATCTCCAAGCCTTTCTGCTGCAGCTCCGCTTCCGTCTGTTTTGCTTTCGCCTCTGGGGCCTGCTTCCTCCGGGATGCCTTCGCTTTTGGAGCTTTGCTCAGCCTCCGCACTCGCATGCGAGGTGTGCTTCGGCTGGATGGCGAGGCGTGCAGCACCAGAGACTGCCTCTTTGGCGTTGTGGGTGGTTTCTCGGATGCAGAGGCGGATGCAGAACCCTGAGCCCCCGATGCTGCAGCTGCCTCGGTCTTGCGATGAGGTGCCGATGCGGCAGACCCCTCGGGCTTCGCCGCAACAGCACTTGGATCCATCCAGGCTCGCAGGTCCCGGCACATGGCGGACATGGTCTCTTCGGAGAAGGCTGCCGTGGGAATCTGAGGCGGCCAGTCGCCACCCTCAAGCTCGATAATGGCCTTTGCAGACATGAGGACTCGGAAACCACACGACCAACTGTCAGGTTGAAGAGGGACATTGTACTTCCTGAGCGACAGCTCCTGCCTCCAACTTGTCTCCTGAGCATGCAGCAGGAAAGCGGCTGCGAGCTGCTCGACTTCTGCAGAGGGCCGGCTATCCAGGAGCAACCAGGTGCTCTTGCCATGCATGCCCGCCAACAAGGCCCAGTGCTCCTTGTTCTGGAGAATCGCGAACACGAGACCAGCAGAGCTTAAAGCCAGCAGGCGGGAGCTCTCTGCACTTGTTGCCATGAGAGGCAGGCAGTGAGCAGGCCAGGACACTCCCCACCTATGCCTGCTGATTTCGGCGATGCCGTGCAACAAAGTGCCGTAATGCAGAAGATGGCCCATGACAGGTGGGTCGCGTGGATGGCTTGCTAGGAAGGCCTTTTCCAGTGCCTCTGCATCCATATTATGCCGATGCACCCCAGGCGCATGGGCTGTGGTCTCCTGCTTGACCTCTCCGGCTTCTCCAGTGCTGCGCCGTGCATGCGACGGCCGAGGTGGACTGAACTGCACCTCTCTCTTGGCATTGCGAGGAGGCGTGGATAGGCCCTCCTTGTCATCCTTGATGCTTGGAGCACTGGCAATGTCCGCATCGGGAAAGCTTGGAAAAGCAGACATGAGTTGCTGCCACAGCTCTGCTGCTGCCTTGCTCAAGCCTGAAGGACTACGTGTCTCAGTGCTTCGGAGCACCATGTCTGAACCATACAAGCTTGCAGCGGCTTCCCAGGTCGGGTCTGCTTGAATTGCCCGGAGTCTAGAGAGTATCTCCTGTGTGTCTTCACAGGCCATGCGCCGCTTCACCGACATGTCTGCATCTTCCCATGCAACCGCATGAGCAGCCTGTTGGTATCTATGCAATGCACAGAACTCGTTCAGGGAACCAAAGGCGATGTCTCGGCGATGCTTCTCCGAAAGACACCAGAGCAT